AGACAGAGGGGGGAGGCCATCGGTCAATTAATCAAGATAATGAGCGCAAGTCGAGCAGAGGATGGCGAATAGGGAGGAGGCAAGTGAGTGGAAGGTGGAGGGAAAAGAGGAGTGTGGACCACACCGCCTGTATGAGACATCCGACACCTCGGTCGAACCAACCCGACAATACACCGAAGATACGCGACTTGGCGGTGAACTTTACCCAAAACCCTCTCCACCCCCTCAACGGATTTTCCACGGATAAGCAGCCTAACTCGAAAGCATGATTAATTAATTAGCACAGAGACCAAGTCCGATACACAGCCAGGCTGTCACATCCTGTTTGGTATTTGAGGTTGCCAAAACTTGTGCTGCTTCAGGGCTGAAGGAAAAATACTTCAGCACCATTCAAAGTATTTACTCGGAATCACTGACTTCAAGGAAAATATTAGGCTGGACTTCTTGTGGGTAACGAGACGAGGATTTATCATTTGATAAATAAATTTTTCACCGCTGCAATTATAAAAATCGTGAGTGAAAATTTCGAAATTAAATGAGGATTGAATTTAAATTAACCGCCTCAGACGACTGGACCAATGGGGAATATGCGTGAGGGACTTTCGAGATATCGATAGTCTCGATGTTTGTTATTTTTGTAATGGGATTATACTGGGATTTTTTGAATTCGATAATTTTTTTTCTGTTGTATGCGCTCTGCGTTCCTGTTGTTGAGTGGAGAACGGATGAATGGTTGAAGCATGAAAGTTGACTCATAAAATTGAGAAATCCATCTTCATTGGAGTGCACTTGAACCGGGGAATCTTGAGAGAATGCCGAAGGAGTCTGGAGGGTTGAGACCGGGGTAGAATTGAAGAGTGGACCTGGTGGCTGACCACGTGAATACTATCTGATGATTATCATCTAGGTAAATACATGTGAATGACCACCGGGGGACAATTAGACATCTAGATGTCGATGGCTATCTCGTGTCCACTTGATTCGAGAGATCCTCGGGGTTTGTAAAAGATACTGGGATATGTGCAGTCGTTTTTTTAGTCGAAATTTACATTCCCCGGGGTACAAAAGGAAGGGAGGAAATAAATATTTCATTCGTACACTCAGATTTTTTGTTCGACCTTTTTGGAAAAATTTACATTCGAGAATAGAATAGAATTCTTTTTAATTTTTCTTTGAATTGGTATATACTGTCTTCACTATTTTTTTATCTCCCGAATACTTTATGTATTCCATATATTTGTAATTTTATCTCATTGATATTATTTATTAATAAGATAATTGTCAATGCTGTCCTCTTTTTTTTTGTTATAACGAGTTTATTTGGTTTTATTCTGAATCTTAATCAGAGTCGGTCCAAGAGTTTTTCAACCTCGCAATATTCACGGATTTATGGTTCTATCGAAAAATCCAGAGACTCCGATATACACTAAAAAGTAAAAAAAATGGCGGGGAAAATATATAGATGAGAAATAAGAGGGTGTGAGATGGGGAGAAAGACGATGTGCAAACGCAAAACCTCGACTTGTAGATATAACAAACGGGCGTTGGTGTGCGCCTCGGAGAAATTAATTTTAACTTTAAATTAAGACTCTAGTCGATACCTGGTTGGCTCTCTTTGTTGGCCAGGTCCTGAGTAAAGGACTGGGAAGGGCTAGAGGTAAAGGAAACGAGAAAAGGTGAAAAACGGGGAGACGAGTGACGGCTGAATTGCCTCCCTCAGCGGACAAGAATAACCCGGACAACTTTTCTTTTGTTTATTGTTAAATGCACACAATTCTATTAAAAAAATAGAAGACTCTTACTTTTAATTCTCCAAAGAGAATCAATATTTTTTGTGGGAAATTTTTAGTGGAAAATTTTTAGTGGAAAATTTTTGTGGAAAATTCCTCCGATAATTTGCGTATTAACCAATGAAAACCGATTTAATTATTTTAAATCTAACAAGTACTAATTACCCGAAATAAAATTTCTATTGAATCCACCAAATAATCATTCGAAATGAATGATTTATTATAATTAAACAAACCCTTTATTAATTTCAAATTCATTCCAATGAAATTATAAAAATTAAAAACTCCACAAAAATCGATCTGCATTAAAAAATAGGCAAAAAACCCGAGTTCGATACGATATCCCCAGTCGATCAACACAAGATACTCAATCCCAGCAAAAACTCCCGTGTAACGAGCGTTAATAACCCCCTCCCCCGGTGTATCAACAACAAATAACAATCCCGAGGGAATAAAACCGGTGAAAAAAAAATTCCCCAATGATGTATAAGAAAATGATCCGTGGTTCGTGTGAAATGGAGATGAAAGCAACTGGAAAATGTCGGAATAAAGTAAGAGAGAGAGAGAGAAATCCCGAGGAGTGAGGATAGAAGACGAGGAGGAAAAGCGTTTATCGTGGTGAACCATGAGAGGAGCAGTTGGCACCGATGATTCATGATGCTGGTCGAAGAGTTGATGGTAACCTCTCAACATCATGCAAATGCTCCCAATCATGAGTCCAGGAGTCTATAATCGATCTATAAATCTGCTTTTGGGGATAAAGGTGGGGGAGTAAACGATTTTCCCTCCATCATTTTTTTTAGACTGCAGTTGGAGATGTGAGTAACTCCTTTGGTGGATGGCTTCCTGCCTCCCCCCTACCCTTCCCCCTACCCTCCCCCCTATCCCCCTCAATGTGCGATTGGAATATGATAGCCGTAAGGCAACTGTATAAAAGCCAACCATTTGCCCATAGACAAATGTATCTTGTTAGCATACTATTTTGTATGCATGGGCTTTTACACGCCTCTCAGTACTCAATACTATTTCTCCATGTGCTTTACCCCAGTTAGTTGGCTACGGGGTGAGGGATGAGGGGTGAGGGATGAGGGGTGAGGGTGAATGGTTAACCTTCTTCGGTTATTACAAATCGAATCGAAAATTCTTTATGGATAATCGCTTTCCTGGGAATTTATTTTCCCTTCTCTCGTTTTTTTTTTTTTATCGAGGAGAAATTTTTGTATTAACATTTTTCATTGAAAATTGTTTCATCCCTCTGGCGATAGTTGGGATGACGTGTGTTACTCTGGTGATTGGTTTTGAAGCCATTATTTAAGGAGGGGTGATTATGACATGAATTATGACAATTATGAATTAGCAATTATAAAATAAAAGTATAAGGTTTTAGTTGTGTAGTTAATGAGATTTCGAGTGAATAATTGGAGTTTTTTTTTGTGTCTCAAGGTTTTTTTTACATTAATAGAAAATTACACTTGACATTTCTGATGATAAAATTAATATCCATGCGACCGCCGAGTCAATTATTATTGTAATACCGAATAATGTTGGAGAGAGATGGAATTTTTCTTTTCTCGGGAAATAATGGAAAAGAATAAGGGGAGAAAAGACGCTTGACTTTTTTTTTTCCCCTCGTGATTGATTAACCTCCTCTCCTTACTCACCTAAACGACAGATGAGAAATGTAATTATAATTTTTATTCATTTCGCGTTGAAAATTTTCAGTGGGCAAGGATCGAGGGCTGATGGCCAATGAGAAGCGAAGGTTCATTCATTCATTTGCGGTTAGTCATTCGTGGTGGGGAGATATGATTCTCTTGCAAGTTGAGGATGAGTTTTTTATTTAATGGGTGATCAATATTCATTTTTATTATCCGTGCGGGAGGCGATTGTGATTAATTCCCGCGGCACTTGTGATTCTCGCGGGAGCTAAGAAGGGGAAAAGGTACACTCGATCAATTTCATTTCCCCAATTGTTTGCGTAAAAAATTGAAGAGAATTTCTTCCGTCAGTTGAGTTTTCTCCACCTCTTTGTTCTCAGCATTCATTTTTTTAATTCACATCAGAGTGTATCGATCATCGAGCTATCTTTTCCATGCCAATCTTATCTCGTGGCGCACCACACGCCAAGCATGAATCCATTTATCTTACAATTGGTTCCGTTGTTCTTTTATCCTCGAGCACCGAGGAATTATAAAAGAAAAGAACCCGCGAATCCATTAAGGAGATTTGATTCAGGAGAATAGGTAAGATTACGTTAATTGTCAATGTTTTTTTGCCCATGGGGCTGTGATGATTAAGTAGATCAGTTCATCACAGAAATTCACATTCTTTCTATCAGATATCGATGTAATTTTTTTTTTTGCAATTTATATTTAATATATTTTTTGCAATTTTTGTAATTTATCCGCGTTTGTTGTTGCAAAATCATTTCATTCAAATTCACGAAATGCAACAAAATTGTTGGCGAGAATCACAAATCATCAATATCATCAATAAAAAAAATCTAATCCCTCCCCACATGCCCCTTTTTTTCGCGACGAATTTCCTCTTCACCACAACTAAATAAAAAAATAATTACGCAAGTGTTTTGGTTCGATTATCCCCGACATCGATTTCTCGTTCTCTCCCCCCGAGGGACGTGTGTACCGTCAAGAAATCCAAGGGTGTGTAGATGTCATCGCTGAAAGAAGTAAAAAAAAGGAGCGTAAAATGTACTGGGGGACTTCACTATGCAAATACAGGGGAGAAAAATTACGGCAAAGTGCTAAATGATCGGCAGTGGAGATGGGGATACATCAGAATTTTGTGACCCTGGGTATTTTTTATTCCACACGATGGGCATCACCTTATGTCGAATCTCCAGTGACAGAAGAGATGACTGGGGTGGATCGAACCCTGGGATTTTTCAACATGCAAATAAGCCACTCAGAGAACTGTCTCGGGGGTTCGATTCCGTTCAGAATTATTGGCTTTTCTGTCGAGTGGAATCAACAATTCACACACGCGTGTCGATTTTTCGTCATTTATCATTTAATTTTATTCCTTCGAACAAAAAAAATACAAGTCAATCCATTATATTTTATTCTTGCTTCTAGCATATTCGATTTTCAATCCGACATTGATAAAACTCCAATTTCTTACGATTTAATGAATAACTTTTTTAATGGTTCAAAAAATTATTTATTAATTATTTTTTTAATTCAACAGGGATAATATTTTTTCAATGAAATTTTTAAAAAAATTGAACAGGAAGAGAGGGTTTGAATAAATGATGGATTTGAATGATGTGAATTTTTTCATTGATTTTGAAATTTCGGATCAATCATTGAGGGACAGGACCAACTCGGTGTTTTCTGTACAAAAAATGTTGAGTTACAGCAAGTGGAGACATCTAGTAAGAACCGCCTCAACACATTCGAACACGAACTCTCGGAAAGCATCGGGGGTCGTAGACCTCGACCTTACAGTTGACACTTCCCTCTTCTCCGACGGCAACTCAAATAACTCCGAGTTCAATTCCAACCAGAACAAAGACACCTAAAAACAAATCATCGTGAATTAAAAATATCATAATCAACATAAAAGCGATATTCGAAAAATAGAATTATAATATTTCAATTTTCTCTAATCCTTTATTTATTGAACTGCACTCAGAAGACCTATCCGCTTATTACTAATTGCAAAAAGGATTTTATTAATTTTGCAAAGACACACAATCGAAACATAAACATACCTCAGACTTTTCGGAAATACTCTGAATAAAAATATTGAAGTGAATTTTTAATTTGAATTTAATCGTAAAGAAAACAGGGATGTGAATAATTTTTACGTTTTTTTGTTATTGAAAAATAAATGGGCGAGGAATAATGAGGAAATTATCACCTAGGTCTCACACTCTTCATAAATTCCAGACACAAAATGAAACTTTCCCCACTGGTCTTCCATTTCGTATCTTTTTTTTTTACTCCTCCATCCAGAGCCCTTGCGGCACACTCTCATTCTTTTCCTCAACCTTTTTTCATCTATGTAGTTCGAAGGCTTTTCACACGGGTGTTTCCCACTCTTTTTTCCCCGGTGAAAATAAAAGCGAATGTACCACGTTGACAGAGGGTGTCGGGTGTTTACCCCCGGCTTGCGAGACGTGTGCGAAACAACCCGAAGGAGAAGAGGTGAAGTGAGAAGGGATTCTGAAATTATCGCGTGAGTTAAACTATTTTAAAGACACGAATTCAATTTTAATTAGTCTACATTAACTCGACGAAATCGTGACGTGACGGATTTTCCGAGTGAGAAAAACTGGACATTATGCCATCTTTCCTTCCTGCAATAAATGATTTTTTTTAATGGAAGCAAATCGGATTAAAACGAAACGGAAGAACAATTCCCAAATAATTATGAATAATCGGAGGATAGAGGTGAGATTGGGGAGAGAGGAGTGGATTGAGGGGGAACGAGTTAAAATATATATTAATGAGACAAAATATTTGACAGTGCAATTACACGTGACATTGAATTATTTTTCGTGCGAGTACTTTGTCCCCTCGTCTTGAATTTACTGACGTCAGTTGGTTCTCGTTTGCTCTTTTCCTCTGAATCCTCGAAAATCAGAAGTGACTATTTACCCCTTGATTCCGCTATCAGATCGCGATAACATCGAGTGGACTTGACTGAAAATACAATATCTTCAGCTCCGAAAAGTAAAAAAAAAAAAATCCAAAGAACTTGTTCATAAAAAATAACTCATTCCCTCTCCCTCCTCTCATTTTACCTCTGACCCCCGGCCACAATCCATTCAAACACAAAAGCCGTCTCATTCCCATCTCAATCTATATTCGCACGTCCAACACACTCGAGATTATGAATGCGTGGGGTTAATGAAACCGGCCAAGGCGTCTGCCTTTACACCCCCGACGCTTGTCGTCGTCGAGATATTAAAACCGACGCCCCCAGCTAGTTGTCGTCTCTCTTTCCATCAACGAATTCTAAAAATTCTTGTAAAAACTCACTCCATTTTTTCCAAGATTCATTTACACTCCGACATTAATTCTACCCCAATTACCCATCTAAACCACAAATTGTAATTACGGGGTTGTTGTGTTGAACAGTGTTAACAATTCGGTTTATTTTTAACAATAACAAAGTGATATGAAATTTTTGGTGAATTCTTTATTGAGGCGCTGAGATTTTTTTGACGTCATTCTGATAATCCTCGATTTATTGAAAATTCGAATGTGTAATGAAAAATCAAAAATTGATTTTCTTTTTTAATTGAAATCAAATACTAGCGCTTACAATCGTAATTTCCGATAATCTTGCGACTGGAATTTCAAGAAATTTTTGGATACTCTCAATAAATTTTGAGTGCATAAAATTATATATTTCAACGAATCTCTAATTTATCAATTGCATTCTGCATTCTGCATCCTGCATTATTTTTGTTTCCATCTCTCTCGTGATGATCGATTTTTTCCCTCCCAAGTATGACAGTATATTGTATTTAATCTACACCTGATTATAAATCAACCCCCTGAGCTCTTCAATATAATTCCCGAAAAATATTCGTAATTTTTATTGAATATTTCTCGGTACGTAAGATGAGATTCTGCAATACGTAACTGAGATGCAGTTGGCGTGGCAAAAAAGCCCCGAGGAGGGATGACTGGATGAGAGGGATGAGGATACGGGGATGGAATGAAACAGCCCGTACACCGGCAAAGGAGAAGTAAAACGAGAAAGAGGGAAATATGATGCTCTGGGATGTGGTAGTTGAAACGGTTGCGGGGGCTCCGAAAACCTTTACCCACGGGTGCAAGTAGTGCGGAGGTACACGAAATAGAGGAGGTAAAAGATATATGCCAGGGCAGTGGAGACACGAGAGAGTTGGTGGAGGGAAAAGTGGAGAGGTACAGAGGAGTGAAACGAAGAGACGACGCAGAGAGGTGGCGGAATGGCTGGGGGTTGTGAGGGTGAAGAGGGAAAGAGCACCGGTCGATTCAGCCCCCGGGTACTCCAAGCCACCTTCTATCTGCTGTATTTTCCCCCTCTGGTCCTTCTCGTGATACACATTCGCATCAAGACGTAATCCACGAGACTAAAATTCCGCAAAAACACAAATGAAAATGAAAAATCCACCAAACGCATGCACTCATTAAAAGAAAATTGAAAAAAAAAATAAAAATTGGAAAAACCTCAAGATTTCACCCCCTCAAAATCACCGGCCATTTTGCATTCCATGCAATTTCTACTATTTTCAACGTGGTTCGGGGAAGAGGGATTTCCGCCCGCCGCCGCATTTTCTCAGGAGCGGAAACAACCCCCCAGTGAGCGCAAGGGGGGAGGGTGGTGAGGCAGTAGGGCGGGAAATTTTGAAAAAGAGGAATAGGTTGACGGGGGGCAACAGGGCGTTTCTCCAAGAGGAAGGTCGAGCTGTTTGTAGTTTGTACGCAGACGTCGTCGCGGTGCTGAGAATTTCCACATTCTATCTCACTTGAATTTCCACTTCTACTCGGTGCTCGCAGGAGGTGGTAAAAGCGGCCCATTGGTTTCTACGTTTGTACGTCTGTATGTTTTTGGATGTGGATACCAACCCAAAGCTCCACCCGCTTCCTACCACTGTGATACCAACGTTCGAGAAATAGTTGAAGGAGTTTTCAACCAAGTGGTGGAAATCGGATGGGTGGAAAGGGGAGGGATGGGTGGTTAGGGGGTGGTAGAGAGGGCTTTTCAGAAATGGTGGGAATATTCTGAGGGCTTGGATTGCTTCTGCGCATGCTCTCGGTACAGCCAAAGTCGCCCTCCGATCGTTTATTTGTATCTGTCATTGCTGCAGAGGAGAGAGAGAGAACGGGACGAGAGGGGAGGCGGGAGGGATAGGGGGAGTGAAGGTGGAGGAGAGGCTCAGAAGCCTCGAGCCACTTTAGTCTTTTCTCCATTTTTTTCCCCAATTTTTTTGCGGAACGTTTTCTCTTCTGAAGCTTTTTTCTCTTCACCCCTTTCATCCCCCCTCGGCCGCTCTTCTTTTTTTTTTTTTTGCACAACGATACTCTCCCGTGCAAAGAGCGAATGGGGAGAAGAGGGTTCAGAGTGATGGACTGGAGGGAGGGCTTTTATTTTCGGTCTTAACGCCCTGGCCACTGGACGAAAGGCAAATTTATTCGCCGGTGCCAAAAGTGATAGCTGAAAATTTTCAGTCCCCTGGGTTTTCCATCCCCTTTCTTTTTTCGGGTGAATGGGGGTGGGTGTTACCTTTTCGCCTTGCTACTCCAAGTTGTGGTCTAGACTAAAGGGTTTTACTCGCAAACCGCTGGGTGAATGGGTGCTGGGCATTTTATATACTCACCACTATGTGTGAGGGGATGTATCGGCGGTCGAGGGTGGAAAATTGTCAATTTTTCAACAATTTTTGGTAAACACTATTTTTTCATGGATTATTACCATAAGGGATACGCTCTGCGAATTTTTTCAAGTCCTTCCCGATTCAAGTACTTTCATCATTTTTCAATTCCATGAGTATGTCAAAAAATTACTCGACAATTCGAAATTAAAAATTGACTTTTTTGAACTTTTCTTTATTCAAACGTACGTAATCGTTGGGAAAATTCGAAATAATTGTCTCTGAATTTTTACTCTAGAATTACACTGCGGCGATATTTATTCCATTCAATTCCATCGGTTTCGAGAGTATATCGGATGATCTACTGTATCACTAACAAGTGGCGGAAATAAAAAAAAAATAAATCGGTAAAAAATTCACTGTTGGAGAAAGGGGGATTAAGCGCAGTTTGCGGTTGATATTTGACCTCACACATATAAATCCGCAGATCGGCGCTTATACATACATTCACGGACAAAGTATCGTTAAAAACGAGCTAATTGCTTCATCAAATTTCCCCGTCACTTTATATCACCCCCGTGGAGATTGAAGCGCCGAAATCCCCCAATATTGACTCGTCTCATGCCCGACATCCGAGCCAGTTAATACGTCATTCTGGATCAACAAAAATATATAATTTTCGTTTTTTTTTTCAATTGCAGTTTGGGAAGAAAAGCTGGAAAAATGGCGGAATGGTGCGATAAAGCCGAGAGTCACTCCAAATGCGAAAGACACGGACCGGTGGAGAGGAAAACTTTTATATCGACAGTTCGTTCTAGGTATTAAGGGGCTAATTATAATTGGGGTGGGGGGGATCGTAACCCGGTAATGAGAGCATTACCGTTGAGAGTATAAGTGCACTTTTATCTCTTCGTTTTTTCATGATTTAAATCGAAAAAATAGGAATTATTAGGATAAGGATTTCTGTGATTCTCTATTTAATTCAATTAATTTTTTAATTATTCGACGGTCGAAGAACTTATCAATAATTTTTTTAAATCTCCTATGCCATGAAATAAACATTTTCATTTTCAAATCAGTTGATTCGTCGATTATTCCAGTGGTTCTCAAAAAACTTTGAAATTCCCCTGAATTTTCCATCCGGTAAAAGTGAAATAGTAAATAACTTTGCAAATCCTTTTCAATTGAAATATGGATGTAAAAC